CCTTGTGTTTGTCCCATATTTTAACAATATTAATAATAATAATAAATAACTATATTGTTAATTATAATTATAATATTATTTTAATAATAGCAATATTTCAACAAAGATTGTGGTCAACGATCAGTCACTCGCCCACAGAGATCATCGACTGTACCAAGTTTCTACGGTACCTAACGCACCGCAGGTACAGCTGTCACTGTGAACCAACTTTCTCAATTTTGACCACAATCAAAACAAAACAAAAAATACACTTAAAACACTTTCATTGTCTCCGAGACTGTCCTTATATACAGTTTAATTTCTCTTGGAGACAATCATTCACACAATTCTCATTCACTCAAAACGTCCCTGACATCACATTAGACACTATTCGTTTTATTCACAAACTTTGCGTGTATTTTACTCACTTCACTGCACGCAGTAATTCTTTATCTCGGGATCGACGTCACCAAGCACCGCTGGATCCGTGGAAACCACCGAAGCCTCAAGTCGGCCTTTCAATGCTGAGGTGTCTCTGATTTTTGCGATGACCTCCCGGTTTTCCAACGATGTCTTGGATTTTGTCAATCCGGCTCGAAGGACCAAGCCCAAAAAAAATAATTTCAAATTATGCCAAAAAAGCTGGGATTCAGGTGAAATTTGTAAATATATTTTCAGGAAACCTTTTCTGTTAGATAGAAAAGTAAAAAATTTCAAGATCAAATAAAGATCTGATCAAATAAAGAATCAAATACGAGGTCTCAAATTTTAAAAGTTTTACTTGCAAGCAAGGAGTGCAGAACAATGTTTACATTCAGAACTGCACTGAGGAACTCTTCAGTGCTCAAAGCTTAAATACAGTTTTTTTACACACACACTTCAATGGTCAGTACCTTAACCCTTTACAGCCATGTGGTGTTCTTCTGAGTACTGATTGGTAAAGACTGCTCCAAACAAGGATTCTCCACCAATAGGAGCAATGTGCATGTGCTGTAGTTAATCAAGTCAGATAAGACCATGCAATTCAGATGTTTTTCTCTCTTTGTCTTTTGTTGGTCTTCCGTCGGTCCCCTTTTTGGGCAAAGAAACCAGTTCTGACCGGTTCTGTGTCCTGTCTCTATCTCCAAGTGTAACAGTCGGTACCATTCAGTGCTGTCCATATCATCCTGTTATGTAAACTATCAGCATGGACACCTGTCTTCAGCACTTTTCCTTTTAGTACAACACAATAACAGCATTCAATAACTGTATAAATTGATATGAAAACTTAATACAATGAACATATTGTAAAGATTGAACAAATGTATTTAGAATATCTTAACATCTTAACTTTTATTTTAAAAGCAAGTCTCTCGACGTGACACTATCTGTGGCTACATTTTGTACCACAGTACTTTTACGGCGGTATAACAACAGAAAAGGATTCAAAAGACAGGGATGGTTTTGTTTGTATAACGCTCTGCTACCATCTGCTGGCTGAACAAAAGAAAAGGCTACGTAGGATACGTTCAGCGATTTACAACCGTTCAGTGTAATTCATCCCCCTCTCTTCTTTCCATCTTTTCCTTCAGGGAGCCCAACTCCTCTCAGCAGCCAAAGGACTCTCAAATATGAAGGTGACAAACACGGGCTGTTCATTGGAGGTAGTTTGGCCATACGCAAACCCAACGCAGCACTCAAACAAACTTAACGCTTGTACCCGAATAATACCATAATGTATTGTTGAAATGATTATTTTTTTAAATGTTGTTCCTTTGAGGAAATTATGTTTAATGTTTGAACTGGTGCAGGGAGGAGGTGAAGCCAAAACTATGAACCGACATGGTCAAAACCTAAGTGAAGCAAAACTAATTTGGGGCTCGCCATCGTTCCGAGTGGATTAACCACAGAATTCTAACCGCTAAATATTGGCGTTAACGTTAAACTACGAGCTGCGTGGGAGCATTGGACGACAGAAGGCGAACACACAAGAGAGGAAGACGATGCCAGACGAGTTACGCCACTATCTGCCAAACTTTCGCAAAGGTCGCAATAAGTCAGGAACAGCTAAGTAACGGCAACAAGACTCGGATAATTACGACAGGGATCCGGGCGCGCTTGATGCTGAAATCGCCTAACTGTTAAACTCAGACACATGGCTATATGACGTAGCTAGGCTATAACGACTTGTTTTCCTACAACGTTCGCTAGGTGTTCAAAAACCCATGCGAGGTGGTGACAGTGTTACTCATTCAAACTCTGGGAGCCATGGTGCCATCCATCACCGTGTGTCTTGGCACAGCCATGGAGAGGGCAGCTCAAGAGGAACGTCTTGAAATCCTGCTGGAGCTGCATCAAACCACAGTCACCTTTGCCCACAGCCTGGAGACGGCCATGCTGCCTAATCTCGGTCTGTCAAGAAACATACAGATCACACTTTGATTGTAAATTTTGGCCAAAAGCAGGTGCTTACTAACCTCCATGTTTTCAGGTAAAAATAACCTGCTGAAAGTGACCGAGTTGGTTTGCACACTCTACGACCCCTTTAAGTCCTATCAGCTGCAGTATGGCGATCTGGAGGAAGGTCTTCTACTCGTCCAACTCAGTGCCGTACCTTTGGTAGTAAACTCACAAACGCACACACACACACACATTTTAAGTTGAGGGGTCAGCTTTATTGTCAATTTCTTCACAACTGTCCAGTAGACAGTGTTTGTCTGTATCAGTCGCTTCGGAGTATATGTCTCACCAGCCAACTAGGGTGCCCTCTAGCGGCTGTCAGTGTGAAGATCCAAACATGTAAATATCCAGTGGTACAGAAGTAGCAGATGTACACAAGCCTACAGTGCCCTCTAGCGGCTGTCAGTGTGAAGAAACAATCGTGAAATTATATATTAATACACTATACACTATACTGCTGTATAAGTAGCAAACCCATCCAAAGAATAAAAAAAAAAAAATTTTTTTATAAATATATATACTGTATATAAACGTATTAATTACATTCTTTCTTTTTTTAGGAACATGGGGAGATTATTGACTGTGTAGAAGAGTTGGTCCACTCTGTCGGCAAAGTGTTTGGCCTGGCCAATGCTTCTGTGGAGCGTTTCGTCAAGCTGACCGATGGACTAGCAGTCTGTGGTCTCGTTAAAGCTCTCAAAGCTCTATTTACCAAGTAAGTATCCTTTGTGTTCCCATATACAGTCGCTGTTTTGCTTTTGACGATAGAAATACCTCCTCTCATTTGTGTCAAATAAATGATAAACATTAATTGATTGGGGGTCGATACTTTCAACGTTTTATTTTATTTTTTTTCCAGGTACATATCGGACTTTTCCAGAACACTACAGTCGATCAGAAAAAAGTGTAAATTGGACGAGACGCCAAGTTTATCTGTTTTCCAGGAGGACTGGACAGCTTTCCAGAATTCCGTTAGGTTTGTTGTCTTTTTAACATTTCAAACACCTTCTATCTACAAACCACTGTTAATCCCTGGCCAGGTTCACACATTTACTTGTGTTTTTATGTCTGCAGAATTATTTCCGCGTGTGGGGAATTATTAAGACAGTACGGAGCCTTTGAACAGCATCTGTCAAACAAGTAAGAACTTTTCTTTTAGATTACAGTTTAAAAGAAACAAAAAAAACAAAACAATGTGTCAGCATGTATGTTTATGGAATGTTATTTTACCATGTTATCTAAACACTTTCTTTATGTCAGATATGATTTAAAATACAGTGCATTTTACAATATACAGTAATACCTTGATATACGAACATAATCCGTTCCAGGACCATGATTCTAACTTGAGGTGCTCGTATCTCAAATCATTTTTTTCCCATTAGTACATTTTCAGTGGTACAGGAGTAGCAGATACTGGTACACAAGCCTAGAGTGCCCTCTAGCGGCTCAGTATGAAAATAAGTAACATGTAAATGTTCAGTGGTACAGGAGTAGCAGATACTGGTACACAAGCCTAGAGTGCCCTCTAGTGGCTGTCAGTATGAAAATAACAAACATGTAAAATGATATATTTTAACATAAAAGTCGCACCTGATTATGCAGGATGAAAAAAAAATCTAAAGTGCGACTTCAGATTCACATTTGTAACCTGTGATGCCATACTGCTTGTATGATTTCACGTTTTTCGTACGTTTTGCTCATCACCTCATCAACCCCCTCACCCATCTTCTTCTTACAGAATTCTAAGTACAGCGGGTAAATACTTGTCAGATTCATATAGTCCTCGTAGTCTGGCAGGAATCCAGGAGGTTAGCTCTGCAGAGTGGAAGAGCACCACCAAGAACCCCTGGCAGGAGTACAACTACCTCCAGAGGGGCAACACAGCTGAGTACAACAACTTCTTGGAAGTCCTCTACTCAATAAAGGTATAAGGAACAGAGAACCGCTGTCACTGTGACACTTTGGTCGGGGATCCCTCTGTAGCTACTGAACATCATCTCTCTCTGTTCTGACAGGAGAAAGGAACAGGAAATTCCAGCCTTTTAGTTGAACCCCGTGCAAATGTGACCAGACTCAACCAGCAGGCCATTCAGCTTGCCTTTGATTCCGTCTTTCTGCAGATTAAACATCAACTCTGCCTTATCTCCAAAATGGAGGTGATTAAGTTTCATGGTTTCTAATGTGTTTGACTGTGGAGACCTTACCAAGCTTTTGGATCTACACTATATGACCAAAAGTATTGGCTCACCGGCCTTGACTCCTACTATGAACTGAAGTGCCATCCCATTCCTAACCCAGAGTTCAATATGATGTCGGTCCACCTTTTGCAGCTATTACAGCTTCAACTCTTCTGGGAAGACTGTCCACAAGGTTGAGGAGAGTGTTTATAGGAATTTTTGACCATTCTTCCAAAAGCGCATTGGTGAGGTCACACACTGATGTTGGTCGAGAAGGCCTGGCTCTCAGTCTCCGCTCTAATTCATCCCAAAGGTGTTCTATCGGGTTCTACCGAGGCAGCTAACATCCTAAATGAGCTGCAAGTGAGGATCAGCACCGTCCTGGACAATTTTAGCACCATGTTTGCAAAGAGTTAACAGTAACACGCTCCGACTTTGTATGCAGGGAATGTATCGGGAACAACCCCCCCGCCCCCGACCCCCCAACATGACACAGCAGAGGCTGACGCTGATGCTATGCTGAGGCCGCTCATGTAGTTCCTGGATGGAAAGTGAGTGAAGGCAGGGGGGTTCTCACAGTGTGTGTATGTAAACTTCCCATACAAAAAAAAAATAGCCATCGACCTCTTTATTTTCTGTCATCACAAACTGAACCAAGCTGAGCCGAAAATGTCAGCTTTTCACTGTGAGTGACCAGGAAGGACAGGTTAAGGTGGAGAAGATTAGAGGGGAGGTTAGAGAGGTGAGGTCGAGATGGTTTGGACATGTGCTTAGGAAGGATACTGTAGATAGTGGACAAGCAGTTGCCAGGTAAGAGGAAAAGAGAAGACCTCAGAGAGGGTGTATGGATGTTTTGGTTGAGGAGGTACAGTACAGATGCTTTGGCTAACCACGGAAGGATGTAGCCCAGGCGTAGGGAAACTTTTTGACTCGCGAGCTACAAAATTTGACGGGGGTGCGGGTCAGGAGCAGATAGATGGAGTGTTCGTATGAACTAAAACAAATGACATGTAAAAGTCAGTCAATAAAGGCTAAAAGGCGAAAATGCTTTCAGCCTTGTACATGCCATTTTTTGGGGAAATGTGGGCATTGCAGGGGAAAGGCAGAAACATAATGAAAATAGAAATTAATAACATAATTTGGAATCTGGCCACATCCTCAAAGCTTAAATACAGTTTTTTTTACACACACACTTCAATGGTCAGTACCTTAACCCTTTACAGCCATGTGGTGTTCTCACCCAACTTCTGAGCACTAATTGGTAAAGACTGCTCCAAACAAGGATTCTCCACCAATAGGAGCTATGTGCATGTGCTGTAGTTAATCAAGTCAGATAAGACCATGCAATTCGGATGTTTTTCTCTCTTTGTCTTTTGTTGTCTTCCGTCTGTCCCCTTTTTGGGCAAAGAAACCAGTTCTGACCGGTTCTGTGCCCTGTCTCTATCTCCAAGTGTAACAGTCGGTACCATTCAGTGCTGTCCATATCATCCTGTTATGTAAACTATCAGCATGCACACCTGTCTTCAGCACTTTTCCTTTTAGTACAGCACAATAACAGCATTCAATAACTGTATAAATTGATATGGAAACTTAATACAATGAATATATTGTAAAGATTGAACAAATTATTATATGTATTTAGAACATCATAACATTCCCTGCTGTTTTACATATCAATTTAAACTGTGAAATAGAACAACTTCTCATTATCAGTCATGTACAACTTCAATTAGATTTTCTGCACAGACATCATTTCGGAACTATAGCACAGTTGAACACTTCAAACAGATGAGGTGTTCTCGTCAATCTGTGGGGCAGTGGGAATGAGATAATAAGTCTGTTGGTACAAGGCATGCACATACATTAGTCTACTTGATACCATTTAAGCAATCATTGACTTAATGCACGGTATTACACAAGTTGAAATCAAACAAAGCAAAATAAAAACAGTCAAAACACGCATAAGTAATTTTAAAAGGATACTCCACCAGGAACTGGAAGTGAGCCAGGAAAGCAGATTTTTGTCCCAAGTCCAATGTGAATCATCTTTTTGTGATTGGAGATGTTCCTGTAAAACTTGCACTTCACCAATGATCTGTGTAATATTATCAGTCGAATCAGGAATAATTGTACAACAATAATCACCAACCAGGGCACAGACCCCACCCTTCTCTGCTAGAAGGAAGTCTGATGCCATACGATTTTGCATAATCATGGTTTTCATAGCACGCTTTTCAGGATCATCTTTAACAAATTCAGCAAGATGCAGCACAGAAGCAGTAAGATTCTCTAGTGACCAAAAAACATAATTCATCCTATGTCCTAGGATGAATAACACCATACATTGGAAAATGTATATATAATATATATATGTATATAATAAGCGGAGGTGATTTTGTTTCTGTCGCACTGCGTTTGTAACCAGGTGAATACCAGTAGAATATACAGATTTAGTTACATTAGGCTTAGGTAAAACTACAGAAGCTGGAACTATTCTAGTTAAATAGCATGTCCCACACCAGTCCTCTGGTAGGCAGAGATAAGTTTTAGAACCACAATGCCATACATATTCTTGAGGACATGACCACCCCCAATTTCCTGGAAGTGCCATGAGAAGAGGCTGTGTAGTGATCCAATTTTGTTCACCAGATCGTTCACCTATTGCAGTAAAAAGTGGCTAAACCTGTCTTTGAACAGTTGTTGTCCCTCCAGTGGGTGGCATTAAACATCCAGTGTGTAAAACATTCTTTGGTGCCATATCTTGATATTGGCAGTTCATCAGAACATAGAGATGTACCTCGAAACTTGGGTTTACAGGGTGGTTCACGACAGTAAGGAGCGTCTACTGAACCACAATTTCTTTTGAGACAGAATGGAGCCTATTATCGCCCATCGTGCAATACTTAATCCTTCCAAATTAGTGAAGTTTGTTTTATCGTAATATGCAGCGGGCTTACGCCACTGTGCATATTCAGAAATTCGCACGTTAGCCAAATCTGGCATAATTACTTGCAGCCTAGTGCTATTGCCTTTGCAGTTATGAAGGATCACAGCTATCACAGCCATGGTCTCTAGCATAGTTGCAGGATGTGGGGCAAGTGTTGGGTTATGAGTGTTGGCAATCTGAAACCAATGATTGTC